CTTGAATCAAGAGTTTGTGAGAGGATTGCCCGTCAGAGTTGTCTGGTAGATGTCGCCCTTGACTATGTTGGCACCAGAACTGCTGGCCGCTAGCCCATCTCGACACCATCTCGCAAGCAGTTCAGAAGCGTGCACGGTTTGGTTCCCGTGCTGCGCTTGGACTGGTGCAGGCTGCGACTGCCTCCAGGGCTTCCAGCTCTGCCACTCGCTCGGTGGCGGCACCGGCGCTGGCATGGGAACTCTGCTCATCTCCAAGGTAGGAACTGGGCAAGCGAGAATGGAGACAGAACAAGCAAGCACAGATGTAGGCCTGCCGTGTGGGCATGCTCACAACAAGAAGTGCAAAGCCACAAGCTCTCTCTTGAACCCAGAAGCCTTGAAACCTGACTGCGACTTTCCCGCCTTTTTCCCCCAGGTGCGCGAGGAGCTCCCTGGACTGCATGTTTGACGGGCTGGATACTCACCTTCGCCCACTTGAAACCCCAAGGACTTGTCGGAGATTCGAGAAGTCTCTTGAAGTCAAGTTTCCCGTGCTTGGTGTACGTCCAAGGTACCCGGACCGCATCATGGAGACCTTCTCGGTGATCCCGTCGCCCAAGGTCTCCGACACGGTGGTGGAGCCGTACAATGCCGTCCTGAGCTTTCACCAGCTCGTAGAGAACTCCGATGAGTCGTTCCTGCTGGCCGCCGGGCAATGTCAATGAGACTGCTTTTCAAAGGCGTGCAGTGTATTCATGCTTCTAATCCAGCTTGTGCTGACCGTGCAAGTTCCAGCTTTAGCTAAGGACAACGAAGCGCTCTACGACATTTGCTTCCGAACGTTGTGCCCAGGCATAAAGTTGGCCCTGAACCCTGTGACCCCGACGCATGACATCGACACCTGCCCTAGATCTCAGATGTCAGGAACCCGGAGCTTTGTTCCTAGACATGATACTTAACAACTCTGGTGGAGGCTTGGACCTGCGGCATTGAGCTTTCACAGAACGAACGAGGTTTCTAAATACCCCGCGATGTGAGGACTTGTTTATTTCATGTTTATGGCGTTCGATTCAACAGGGACGCAGAGTCTCATACAAGCTTTGTAGTACATGGGCATCCGTGTAGTTCAAGAGTTGAGATGGTGCCCGCGTCTGACGACCCCCCCAAGTGACATCAATGAATAGGCCGGCGTTCACCCTGGCTTTGTAGTCAGTCTTCCTGACGAATTGCCCAGGAAACTGACGACGCCAACCTACGGCGACCTGAACCACTTGGTCTCTGCAGCCATGAGCGGCGTGACCTGCTGCCTGCGCTTCCCGGGACAGTGGCTGGGCTCATCAATGCTTTTCTCTGACAATCCTGGTGTCTTGGCTTGTTGCGTGCATTCCCATGCGATGAGGCTGAACTGCGACTTGCGAAAGATCGCTGTGAACCTGGTGCCTTTCCCACGTGGCTTGGAATGCGGATGAGTATGAATGTTGGTTGCTCTGTACATGGTCCCCCGCGAAGAAGCATCGCAAATCCCAGTTCTCAACTTTGTATCCGGCGTCTGAAGCTGCGAAGGGACCCCACAGGGATCCAAAAGGCCTTGCACTCGGACAGGCTTGCACTTCTTCATGACGGGCTTCGCGCCGCTGACCTCCCGCGGGTCGCAGCAGTACCGAGCCCTGACCGTCCCCCGACTCATTTGATTCCGATGTGGATGCAAGGGGACGTGTTGCAAAATGACGTTTTGCAAAGCAACGCGTTCCGAGCTTCGTAGCGGCAGGTGCCCGAGCTGACCCAGCAAATGTTCGACGCCAAGAACATGCTCCGCGGCTCAACATCCGAACAGTTGCCTGACAGCTACAAGTCCGTGAGCCCGTCAACTGTCGGACGTCCCAGGATGTGCGCTGCGGACCCCCGCCACGGCCGCTACCTTACCGCGGCAGCCCTCTTCCGTGGCCGCATGTCCACGAAGGAGGCGGCCAGAAGCCGCCAGAAGCCAAACAACCAACATGGTTTCGGGCCGGAAACGTGCAGAAGCTGGTTCTGAGATTTGCTGGTTTCAAGTTCCTGGAACACCAGACATTGTGTAGTGCTCCTTTCTCCAGCACTCGCTGGCCTGTTTCACATTCAAATGTCCAACTCCCGTGCAGTGAAGACGGTGCCGTCCAGCTCCCTGCTAGTGCAGCAAGGGAGATGGTGGGGTGGAGACAGCGTTATCTTACCCCACAAACCCGCAGGTGGATGAGCAGATGCTTAACGTCCAAAACAAGAACTCCTCCTATTTCGTGGAGCCTCGGCTGTCCTTGTGTCACAGGCACAATGGTCTGACGGGCTGTCATGCTTATGCTGCTTTGCATAGTAGAGGCCTAAGTGGCTCCTTTCTCGCTCTGGCTCGAGTCTGCAAGCCCCACACCACAAACCCTAAACCCTGAACCCTAAGCCCTAAGCCCTAAACCCTAAACTACTGAGGAGTGGATCCCCAACAACATCAAGGCCTCCGTCTGCGACATCCCTCCAAAAGGCCGCTCGGCAGCGATCCGAAGAGCGATTTTTGACAGCTGTTCCTGTTTTCAAGATGGTCCGGATGTTGGGCTTTCAAGATACAGCAGGGTTTAGGGTTTAGGGTTTAGGGGTACTCTCGAAGGTCCTCCGACACCAAAGAAGCAGTAATAGAGACTGGGTATGACGTTGACAGAGCAAGCAATGGCCAGACTTCGCTCAACAGCTCATAGATCAAAGCTTACCACTCACAAATTGCCAGCTGTCCGTGGCTCTTTTGCCGACCGGCGGAAATTCCGGGAAGAACATTCTCAGGCTTGTTTGTCAGTGTATGCCCTGTTTGCATTTGCATTTGGCTGCCTGCCACCCTCTTTCGGCAGCTGCAGGTCTCAAGATGGCTGTCGCCTTTGCCGGAAACTCGACTGCCATCCAGGAGATGTTCAAGAGGCCCGGCCTTGAGCATCTCACAAGATTTGGGGGTAAGTTTTCGGCTTCGCGAAGCTTTCAGAGCAGCCCGCACCGGTGCCCTGCTTCACGACCTGTGCTCGGCCGGATCCGAAAGCGAACCCCGAAGCAAGTCTTAGGTCTTGCATGGCTATCTCACACGAGCCCTGCCTGGCCTCTTCTTGCGCAAGCCTCTTTGCCGGACAGGGTGGCCGAGTACTTCACGGCCATGTTCCGGCGCAAGGCCTTCCTGCACTGGTACACTGGCGAAGGCTCTGGGACGCGGTCATGTCTGCGATAAGAAACTCTAGTGGAGTTCGTGCGAGGACAGGATGGGAGGTTGATACTTGCTTGGTGGTGCTGGATGGGTGGTGCTTACTTCTACATAACCCAGTGGTGAAGACCAAGCAACCAAGATTTGACCAGTGTACCTCTGCGTAGTCCGTGGAAGGACAGCCCAGTGGTAGTTACCTGAGGCTGAACGAACTACTTGCAAAGAATCTCAAGGGCTGCCGACGAGGGATCTAACATGGAGCATCAACTTGATCTTATCGCAGCACGAAGAGAAGCTGACACACTGCGGCACCGGGATGTAAGGCAAGGATTTGGATTGGAGCCGGGGAATGGAACCGAAATCCTTAGACGGCACTGATGTCGGGGACCGGCAGGCATGGACGAGATGGAGTTCACTGAGGCGGAGTCGAACATGAACGACCTGGTGTCCGAGTATCAGCAGTACCAGGCGCGGCCAGGAAGAGTTGCAGACTCGAAATCTTGGGTGCGACGCGTTGGATTCTACACATGCTTTCCAGTTGCATTGGCTTTGCACGGCTTTGCTTCTATGCTCAAGCACTTAATTTGAGTATGCCACGTGGGTAAACAGAAGCAGCCCGACAGTGTCTTGCGGGCACCGATGATTCCACCGGACTTCTCATAAAGCGCAACCTTGCTTCGGCCAGGATGCCACCGCGGAGGAGGAAGGTGGGCGAGCTGAAGTAGCACTGGTTCCGAGGACACAGGTTTTCAGGTGTCCAGCGGGGCTTAGGTTGAGACGTTTACTTTCTCGCATGTACACGAGGCTCCGAAGTTCGCCGGGTTTTGTGGCATCGGGCAACTGCCGACTTCTGACACAACTAGCATCTCTGTTAATTTGGGTGGAGAGTGGCCTGACCTCGCAGGTGAGTTTGACGAGGAGGAGGGCGAGTATGATGGATAAGCGCGAAGTGTCGCCGACCCATGCTCGTTCCGCCAACCTGTTCAGACCGATGATGACCTCGGCTGCACCCCTTGTCCCAAGAGGACGCAGCCGGGGGAATTCATTCCTGGCACGCTTTCAGGAAAATCCTGAAGGCAGGTCGAGCATGGAAGTCACAGCAAGTTTCGCAGTTTGCGGGGCAGCAGGGGATAAACGGACTTCTTCCTGTACACACGACATGACAGTGAGAGATTCCTGTCGCTGCAGCTTGGATGTGATGCAGAGCATGGACCGCAGCGTCAGCGTCTCTGAGAAGTCTCAAGCGACCACCTCGCAGTTCGCCTCCTCGCAGCCATGCGTGAGCTCGTGCACGTCCAGGGTGGCCAGTGCACCTCGGGCAGGAACCCCGCGTCAAACCCCAGAAGCCGACGGAGGATGTTCCGGGCTTGAGGTTTCAGAGTTCCTACAATTATGTTTGGCATTCAACCTCCTGAGTACATGTTTCAGACTCTCCGCAACGAATGCAGAAGGATTTGGGCGGGCCCGGCTTTTTCCAAAGCCCGTTTTTGAGGCGGCAACCAGATCGGTGCCAAGTTCTGGGAGGTGCACAGCGTTGCCGGCTTCTTGCAGGATTCAGTCGACCGGAGGAATGTTGTAGCTAAGTTCCTGCAGCTCAACCTCACAGAGATCTTGACGGAGTTTTGCTGAATCCGTGCTGTGCAGGTGATCGCCGACGAGCACGGAATCGATCCCACAGGTGGGAAGAGAACAGCCAAACCTTCCAATCGAACCAACAAAAACCTTCGGATAGTCATATCACCGGTGAAACTTAAGGTTACTCCCAGGCTTCTGAGTAACAGCATAGATATGTTGCGCGCAGGAACCTATCATGGAGATTCGGAT